CCTACTTACCACTGGCTATCGTGCAGGTCACGGGTTCAACTCCAGGGAACTGTGCAGATACTGTACACAGGTAAGCTGAGGTCAAGGGATCAACCCCTGGGATCTGCATCGGCTACTGCCAAAGGTGAAAACTGTTTCACTGGTGCCATGTCCAAGGCTAGGCCATTTTCAGACTACTCTGGGCACCCCCATTCCTCCCCCCGCTCACCCCCCACCCCCACCCCCACCCCCAATGTTAGGGGTTATGAAACTCAATTCCGACCTCACTTATGTGTACCAGTTGTTGACCTTGGGCAGCGGTGGTGAGGGTTTTCTGAATTTGGAAGTTCATAGATTAAACTACCCCCTGCAAAAAAAAAAGGGAAAGGGACCCTAGGCGTGCAGACAGAAACGCAGGCCTGGTGCCACAGTTAGATCGTCAATTGAAAATGGACTAACTGAGGAAAAAAAAAAAAAAAAAGTGCAGGCGTCGTCACGATAGCCTGGGCACCAATGTAAAAGAGGCAATGGTGTGGTTCAAGAAGGTTCCGTCTGTGCACTGTCTCTGAAGCGTCAACACCACTGTGACACCCAAAAGAGGAAGCTATGCACGTTTCTCTTAAAGTTTTGGGTGTTGTGTGCAGACTTAAGAAACAGGACGTGAAGATTACCTTTACATCTATGCCCTGTTTGTCAGAGAGAACATCAGCAGCTAACTGGATCTGCACATCTAGCTCCCCAACGCTGAGGTTACAGGAAAGCGCTACCCATAACCCGCATGAGCCCGACAGGCCGTTAGTAGACAGACAATGTCTGTTATGTGAGGAGGTGAGCTCTTGCGTCGTATAGGCAAAGCAAAGTTGGCGTGCAGGTACTTAGAGAAGTAGCACTAGTAATGGTAGGAGTACGTACAGTCTTCATCCATCTAGCTGTATCTGGGGCAACTTTCAGTCTACATACGGCTAAAATGACCAGGGAGACGGAAGATGTCTGTTGTATGAGGTGGTGAGCTGGTGCGTTGTATAGGCAAAGCAAAGTTGGCGTGCAGGTACTTGTAGAAGTAGCAGTAGCAGCAGCAGCAGCAGTAGTAGTAGTGGTAATAGACTAATAGTACGTACGGTCTTCACCCATCTTGCTGTATTTGGGGCAAATTTCAGTCTACATACAGCTAAAATGACAAGGTGTTCTATTCGGGGGAAGAAGGTAGTAGTCTGCATTGTTTACGTGCAAAAGCCCAGCAGCAGCGCCAGCAGCAGCAGTCTGAATAGATCGGAGCCAAACTGCACACCTTTTTTTTCCAGGGGGAGTAGGAAGAGCACAGCTCCCACTGTAATACCACTAATAAGGTGTACGGTCTCCAAAAAAAAAAAACAAGGAAAAAAAAAAAAACAGTGCATGGTATCACATGAGGAGCCACACAAGCAGTGCTGTTGATTCACTGTGGAATAGACGGATGGAGGGATTCCTTTTTTTTTTTTTTTTTTTTTTTCCGAGTGTGGGGTGACAGAGAAGTTGGGATTTCGGCACTTCTGGCTGCAGATGAGATGCTCTGCCAGCTCCTTTTCTAAATTTTTTGGATGCAATGTTTGCCTGATAAGCCCAATAAATCACCAGTCCCTCTGAGCCTCTTTTTCCCAACCAGGATTGCTGCTGCGCGGGAAAAAACTTCAAAAAAAGAAAAAGGAATCGGCATCGGCGGAACCTATTTTCCTTTTTGCCTGGTCTTGCCAGTCAGTCTCTTCTGGTAGGCTGAACCCCTGCTTACGCTGTGGGTTAACTGCCACCCTTGCAGACGCTGTGGGTTAACTGCCACCCCTACTAACGCTGTGGGTTAACTGCCACATCGGAACAAAATAGCAGGGAAAGGGACTGGTGGTGTAAATACTAAGTACACGTTCGGGATTATCTTTGTTTGGTTTCAGTCCAGTAGAGGGGAGGGGGGGGGAAGGGGGGGCGGGGCGGAAGGGATTTGCGGGGGCGCAAGCTTCCATACCGGCGGATATCAGAATCTGGAAAGACCAATATGCTCCTTGGAGAATGGACCTGGAGAGCCAGCACATGAAGGTACATCAGAATGCACAGGGCTTGCTTCACGTCCAAGTACATTCTAACAGGGGCTTTCGGGTCATCACAACACCAATCAGGAGCTGCCGCAGGTAGATTTCCCTCTTTTTTTTTTTTTTGGTTCTTTTGATATTCGGTTCGGCCCAAGCCCGTCATCCTATATCTGATCCGATTCAATCTGTTATAGACTGCATGGGCAAGCTGCTCTTGTATCTGAGGAAATTTCCTAAAGAAGAAACAAATTGTGCATGCTGCTGCTGCTGCTGCTGCTGCAGCTGCCGCACAAGACAGAGACGGAGTGAAGAAGAGGATCCATGTGAGTCGACCACCACCGGCGATTTCCTAAAGAAGAAACAAAGTGTGCATGTTGCTGCTGCTGCACAAGACAGAGATGGAGTGAACAAGAGCATCCATGTGAGTCTACCACCAAGGAAGAAACAAACTGTGCATGTTGCTTCTGCTGCTGCTGCTGCACGAGACAGAGACGGAGCGAAGGAACGCATCCATGTGAATCTACCACAATCGTTTGATTGATCTCCGTCCGTCATCCATGGAGGGCGGAGATGGCTGCAGTCTTCTGGAGAGGACCCTGAAAGCAGCTATCAATGCTCTAGAGCTTGAAGATCTGCAAATGCTTCCGCAGAGCATCGATCAGTATGAATCTGCTCTCAAATTCGCGGAGATGTCAATAAGTATTGGCCGATTTGGCTACCTCGAGAAGGCGGCCATAGCTGGGATCACGGAGACGTACAAAGCACGGATCCGGCAACTTCGACAACGCTTGTTGTCGACATCATGTAAGGCGGCTCCGGCAGCAGGTGATGGGGTGAACGATGCAGAAGAAGATGAGTCATGTGGCATGGCGACGGCAGGTATGGATGACATGATGGAGGTCGGCAGCTCTGGCTTCCCCGCCCAACATACACCAGGAATAACGCAGATTGAGGACGGTGCTGTCAGGCCCAGCTGGAAGCCTCGCCTGCAGAGGAGGACACGGCAACAGACGTCGGGCGGGAAGAAACTGCCGCCCGGGAGCAACCATAGCTGCAACTCTCCACCTTTCAGCGACCCGGACAGTCCTGACATTCTGACGGCAGAATGCGCAGACGAAAGAAGGCAGACCATGCAGCAGCTAGCGCAGATGTGCCTGAGGGAACCGCAGATGCGATTGACGGATATCGGTGGCATGGCTGATGTCAAAGACGCTCTCGTTGAGGGGTTTCTCATCCCACTCAGCTATCCAGACCTCTTCCACGGGCTTCGCTCGCCGTTGACAAACATTCTTTTGTTTGGTAAGCCTGGGACGGGGAAGACGAGGATGGCGGAGGCGTTGGCAGCGGAGGCGAGGTGCAAGTTCCTGGTCGTCACGCCATCGACTGTGTTGTCGAAGTGGACAGGAGAAAGTGAGCGCACACTGCGCGGGGTATTCGATTTGGCGCGAGAGTTGCGGCCGGCGATGGTCTTTATCGATGAGATCGACGCCCTCGGTGCAAGTCGTGGTTGTAACGATGACACGTCGTCGCGGAGACTCGTCACGGAGCTGCTAGTTCAGATGAATCAGATCGCGTTGGGCGATCAGATTTACATCATCGCGGCAACGAACCGAGTCCAAGACCTCGACGAGGCGCTGCTGCGACGATTTGAGATGAGGGTGAAGGTGCCGCTACCCGATCCGTTATCGCGGCAGAAGATCATCGAGCTCTACCTCAAGGATGTCGAGTCGTGTCTATCGAACGGAGACCTGGAGCTTCTGGCATCGGAAACGGAAGGGTACAGTGGATCAGATCTGAAGACGTTATGCCGAGAGGTGGCGATGCGCCCTGCGAGAGAAGCTGTCAGAGCCCTGACAAGGCTGTCGCAGGCGGGAGGGGTAGTGCCTTCTTCTCCATTCACAGCAGCAAATGGACACCGCCAGGCACTGACCATTCGTCCAATGACGATGGAGGATTTCCACGAAGCTCTGAAAACGTTCAAGCCAGCTGCTCGGAAGAACTCTTTTTACGCCGATGCGGAAGAGTAGCTGTGTATGCCGTTTTGCAGACGCTGAAGCGTAATACCATAATAACGGTATACATTCATTGTTCCACTTATATTTTCAAATAATCCTTCCTCTGCACCATAACCCCGTCAGAGATTCCTCTGCCTTCGCTTCATCGTCCCCACCACTTCTCTCGCTCTCTCTCTCTGTGATATACCTGTCTGTCCATCTCTCGCGCTTCTTGCACAATCTCCATCTCTTCCTTTGTCTGTGAACCTTGTAGCGCAAATGGCAGATGTTCATCTTCTCCTTCCTGGTATTACAAACAGGTAGCCACTGGTCAGCAATATAATAGAATCAATAGATCGATGGATATTTTAGTATTTTGAAACTATTTTCACAAATGATCGTAGGCTTCTACAGCAGAATGATCAGGTCTGTGATAGGCACAGGGCGATTCTGTTCCTGTTAAGCACAAGCATAGAACGCATTGAAGCATTTGACAATGAAATTTCACTGTAGTAACTATATACCCTTGAACCGGCGCTACATATCAACCACTTACTTTTTTTTTCTTTTTTTTTTTTAATAACTAAGCTATATTCTTCTCTCGAGTGTCCCTTAAACTACCTCTAGCCCACATCTACCTGGCCAGAGGTACATCGACCAAGCAGGGGCTACCGTCTTCACCCGAATAGAATGCTCGGTAATTATTGCCGTATCTGGGCTGAAAGCTGTGCCAAATACAGCTATAATGACCGGGCGTTCTATTTGGGTGAAGACGCTAGCCAGAGCTACATCTACCAAGCAGGGGCAACCAAAGTCTACAGGCCATGTGAACTACCCCCCCCAACTAGGACTGGCGGGGGCGAAGGCCGCCGGGAGAACCCAGGACCCTACCAGGTCCAAAACCGACTAGGGAGGGCAAGCCAACTATCTCGTCTGGCATATCCACTATCTACTATATAGTCATCACTGCTAAATTTGACTATCTACTCATCTAGTAACCACTCGTTAATAGCCGCTAGCTAATTGAAGCTCAGGTAAACCCCTGCGTACAGCAAAACAAATCTTCCGCCGTCAAATCATCAATCCGATGTACTCAACTGCAAAAGCGGGATCCTAATGGTAACCAAGCTGGCCGCAAAGGATAGCGTTTGTCTGAGAAGAGGTTTATGGCTATTTTGGGTGCAAGTATAGCCTACGCATAGCCCAAGTATTTCCCCAGTATAGCCTAGTTTGTTAGCCAGTCCAGTAGTTTATAAACTTTGTGATGGCTTTCTTTATAGACGGATGGATCGATGGATGGATGGATGAATAGACGGATGAATAGACGGATGGAAGGATAGGCGGATGGATGGATAGATGGATGGATAGACGGATGGATGGATGGATACACGGATGGGTGCGAAGTTGCTAACCTAAGTAGTTGGCAATTGGTGTAAGCAAAATACTAGACTGGATTCCTGTTTTACGCTTTCGAATGTATCCGACTGAAAAATCGGTCTGGATGCGGACATGCCAAATAGGACTGCATTCCAGCTGGCAGAAGTTGCAAGGCAAGCAAGCACACGTGGAGGTTGACAACGTGGTTCGGGGGGTTGTGATGGCTTTCTTTTTTTTTTTTTTTTTTTTTTTTTTCCGAATGGATGGATGGAAGAATAGATGTGTGCTAACCTTGCCCTTTGCGTTTATAAGTGTGCTGACCTAAGAAGACGGCAATCGGTGTAAGCAAATATTAGACCGGATTCGTGTTACTCTTCAGTATGTATTTGGGTGAAAAAATGGGTCTGAATACGGAAGTGCCAAATAGGACTGCATTCCAGCTAGAAGAAGGTGGTAATCAAGCAAGCATGAGGAGGTCGACAACGTGGTTCGGGGGTTGAGGCTGACAGAGTGAGGTTGTTTTTGCTGGCTGTATGCTCTGTTCTATAGGATGACGACACCTCTTGGAAGGACAAGCGGAGCCCAGGAGGATTTCTCCTCTTGAGGTATGGACAAAACAGCATTCTATGTGTGGATTACTCATGCTATACCTGTACTCTTGTGTGCATGTCATATGTGTACTATGTGTACTATGTTGTACTACTATGTGTACTATGTTGTACTACTATGTGTACTATGTTGTACAGTACATACTCTGTGAACTGTGTTGTGTACTATGTCTATACTCTGTGAACTATTTGTACTAGAATGAAAAAGTGTACTAATTTTCTAGAGGGGGAAAAAGGAAAATGTTACACTCTGCTCTGTACCAGAATAATGGTTGCGTGAGTCCTACCTTCTTCCCCCAAATACAATGTACGGTCTTTATAACTGTACTTGAGGCATCTTTCTGTCTAGATACAGCCATAATGACCGTATGTTGTATTCGCGGGAAGAAGGTAGCAATACTGTGAGAGTTGTGCAGAGTGGATGTTTCCGAAGATCGAACACACTGCTCTGAAGAGCGTGTGAGGAGCGTGTGGGCCTCGCTCCACTGCACAGCATTCTCTAAATGTATCTGGAGCTGGCAGTGGTCCCGATACATTCAAAATGTATGCATATGTCCGAATGCATCTCGTCCAACAGCTGTCCAGATACATGCGGAATGTTGTGTAGTGGAGCGGCGCAAGGCTTATGCGAACCTCCATGGGACTATTATTTTGTTCTCTGAGCCATCAGGAGGAACCTTCACAGAAGCTTCATGCTCAGATCATCGAGGAATCATCTATATGTACTCTTTTTTTTCCCCATTTCCCCGCCCCCCCCCGTATGAGCGCATAGCCAGCCAATGCTCCTTTCTATCGGTTTGCACACACAGCTGAGGGATTGGAAACATCATGGACAGATCGCGTTACTGATCACGGAAATATCATGGTTTCTTCCCGGTACCTTTCCGCTCAAATTCAGCGAGCTGCCGGCTCTCTTTTTAAAGATGCAGCGGTCGACTGAGCATCGCATCGTCCACACAATGAGCAGTATAGTGAATCCTTCTAAAGCGACGCTGGCGAGCAGAACACGGGGGCCGAAGGTGTGCGACTCTCTGATCGCCACCGGATCTTCACAGTGAGGCTTTTTTCCACCAAGGTAAACACCATGTTAAACATCACGGTTAAACATTATGGTGGCTTGATGGAGGCATGATCATGGAACCATCGCGATCGAGACATCATCATCATGAGGGTGAAAAAGGGTTTCAGCGAGTTTTCTTACCCATGGTAAACACCATGGTAAACACCATGGTAAACATTCTGGTTCCTTGATGGAAGACGTGATCACGGAACTGTCTTTGCACCTATATTTTGCAAGTGTGTTTGTACTACTTTGTAGCCTACAGGCCATGCTCTTTCCTATTTCCTAATCTGTGGTGTAGCTGTGTTACTCAGAGATGCTCTTTGTGCCTAGTATTCAATATCTATCTTTCCTCTCAGTGGTGTGTAGCATAAATGGAAGCTTTCTTCCTTCGGTTTCAAGTAACCAAACCACTAGCCTTTTGCTCTCTCTCTCTCTCTCTCTCTCTCTCTCTCTCTCTCTCTCTCTCTCTCTCTCTCTCTCTCTCTCTCTCTC